TTTGAATCAATGGCACACTCCATACAGAGGCCTGTAATCTCTCTGTGGCTTCCTTGCATTAAAAGCAGGGGAAGCTATAAAGCATATCCAGCTAAGTTTGGGGCTGCAGGCAGTCCACAATTAGTGAGTGGAGATAGGTCCTAGGCCATTTCTGAGAAGGACTATGTAGAATCTAAATTGAAATTCTGTGCCTCCTACTCAGTTTTAATATTTATTAAGAATAACAAATCATACTTAAACTGCACTTTGGAATTTCAGAGCACTTTATAAACATTAATTAGTAACTAACACATCATCATTCTCTGGTGCTTATTTGGTAATGCATCAAAAAATTAACAACCACACTGGAAAAAAATTACTATTTTAAATACAACCAAAGGAACTTAAGTCAGGAAGAATAAGCAGAAGAAAGAGATGGGGAAAAATAAATTGCTGTAAAACTGTCATGAGCAGGGTTCTTACCAGCTTTCTGCCCAATGGCCTGTGCTGGGGCATAGTAAGTGTCATGAAACAACAGATTCTCCTCTTGCAATACTTACTCCAAAGCCCTTGGAGACCACTGATTGTACTGTTTTGCACTGGTGGGTGAAGTCCTGGAACCCCAAAAGTATTTCACAGAACTGCCTGATGTTCTCTAGAGCAGGAGAGCACAGGACGAAATGGAGGGTCTGCAGCTGTTTATTGCTGGTGAACTCAACAACAACCAATTTATATTCATCTATAAAGGAATATGCAAGTGGAAGCAAATATTATGGTCATGCTCATTTGTTTCTGATTACAAAATGTATGCAAATGCATATGCAAATTAAGCGCACCCATCAGGCTCGTGACAAATTAGCCTTTGTATTACAAAGTTTGGGGTGGCTGGCAGAGAGATACCAGGATTGCAAGCAAGGCTAGGCAGTTCCTTTAAATGAAGCCAGAACTGGGCTGCTCCAAAGGGGCTGATGGAGGATAAATCCTGCAGTAACTTGTCGCTTTAAAGGAAGCTGAGGGGCTATAGAAAAACTGTTCCCGCTGCAGTTAGAAGTGTGATAATTACAGAGCAACGGGCTCCTCTGTCATTCAGCAGGCAGCATCCCCAGGAAATCTTGCTCTGTAATCAAGGGAAGAGGTGCAATCAAGCCCCTATTCAGGCTTCGTTTAGAAACAGCCCCTGCAGGCAACACAAAGGCTTCAGCATGGTGCCTTGTGAAGTTGGTGATCACATCAGCGTCTTGGTTCTGCAACTACAAGCAGAGTTAATGTCATTTCTAAGCATATCTTCTGTTCACCTTTCCTCACAAAGTCCAGAAAGGGTCTAGGGAGAGGAGTGAGGTCTTGGGCCAAAACACTGTACATTCAATGTTGCATTCACGCTGTCCACATTAGTGAACTCACTCTCTACACCCTGATTTCAGAGGAAGAGAGAATTTCCTGCAGACAAAGGATGACAGCATGATCCTGAATGAGCAGATATGAACATGTTCATCCAGCTGATACAGCCGCACAGTTTTCAGAATCTGCATGGGGAAGGTTTTGCTTTTTTTTTTTTCCAACAACATGACTCTATCCATGCTGCTCATTTACTACGGGAACCTCGTTCTCTTGGCAGCAGCCTGATTCCACTGAGGCTGATGAGGTTTATTAGATGGGAAGGTGTCTCTGACTTCAACTTTCACGTCTAATACCACCATTACCCAGAAACACACAAATTAATTGCTACTCAAATCAGCCATCCTTTGTACCCTACAGAGCTGTCAGATTCAATGAACCAGTTTACTCCAGCTGCAATAAAAATAGTATCACATTTTATTTAAAACAGCCAAACCTCCCAAAGTAAGCACACATTTGCTTTTCACTGTATATACTCAGAAATAAAAATTGTACTTCCCAATGACCAGCAATGACCCGCTCAGCTACCCTATCTGGGTGTGTAGCTACCATGACATACACAATACTGATAACTCTGGGTGCACCTTAAGTGCCAAAAATCTTTCTGCACATCAGGGGCATATTCTGGACAGGATTTACCATATTGTCTCAGTATGGAAAGGTTGTTCTCTGCTGAGGTTCACCATAACTGGAACTGCACTTTGCATTACAGTAACCCCTAATACTGTAAATGGGGCTTCATTCCATCACAGTACAGAATCTGCAGCTTCCACTCTCTATTTATTTCTTATTTGTTTGGCTAAATGAGTTTGCTGTGGTTATACCACCTGCAGACATAGGTACCAGTCAATAGGCAAGTAATGGCCTGAACACTGTCAAGAGAACTCATTATTAAAAAGGTATATATTGCATTTAGCTGTTCCAACAGAAGTTGTTATTGATTGAATCCCATCAGTTCCCAGTAAAAGGGCCAACTCAACTGATGAAATCAAAATACGCACATGGGCTACAGACTAGTAAATACTGTAATGGACTTAAGGATCCCCCGCAAAAGGCAGCTGTTGATATCCAGTTGAAAGAGGACAACTTTTTCAAAAATGAGACTGGGAATAAAATAACCATATTACTTCTTCAAATATGCAGAGGCAGGACAAAAAACCAAAAGGGAATAGTTCTGACAAAAAACATCTCAACCTCTTAGAAAAAGCAAACAAAGAAAACACAAGTTGGTTAATAGCCAATCAAGCCACAGGCAGGAAGAGCCTGCACCCAGTTCTGCTGTTCCTATCACATTCTACTGTTCATCAGCGGAGGTTTCTGCCACATTCACAGAATTGAAAGAGAGCGTCTTTGGAGTTTGCCAGATTTCTCAAAGCCAGATGAAAAGGTAGCTATACTTCACTTGGTTCCCATTTTGTTTCCTTGTCACTTTTCTTTGTCTGCTTGTTTCCACATAAAACAGCTTTTCTATTTTTCCCCTTCTTTTCACAATCTGCATAGACATTGTAACATTTCTGGGTGGCAGCATTTAACACACAGAAATCGCCGCCATTGCTGCAGCATGAAGGAGGCAGAAAACAAAGCTGATTATAAAATTCTAACATAAACCAAACATACATCATGAATAATACAAGAGAAAACTGAAGACCCGGGCAAGGTAATGCCTGTAGAAATCTTTACATTTGTTCCACTGGAAAAGTTCTCTGCACAGCATCTTCTACGTTAGTGAAGAGACCTCGGCTAATAATGAGTCAAAAGTGTTTACCAAAGAAGTTACATCGTGACAAACTTCCTTGCTCACCCTTAACAGAAGGTTGGGCTGGAAACTGATGAATCACTATAGGAAACAAACAGCAGCGGTGACACATAGCTTCAAAAAAGTAACAATAGCACTGCTTGATTCATGTCTGCAAAAGAAATATCCCTGGATTTATTAGAAGATTAATTTAATATTGCTCCACCCACCCAAGAAATGCTGAAATTTCACCACCCGAGCCCTGGTTAGAGCTCTCACAATTGCCCCACAGGTACATGGAAGCCTCGCTCATTTACAGTATTTTCTAAAGACATCCACTGAACACCATATGCTGTTGATGTCTTGAGCAGCTCCCCGCAGAGTCCGTATCCATTGGCCCAGCAGCAGAAATAGGCTTATATCCTTATGTTTCAAGGTCCACATGCCTGTGTAGCTCTTGCAATCTTCCATCATCCAAAACTGTCATTTAGACATGAGATGTGTTCGTTCTGTAAGCGTATAAGTATCAGGATGGGTGGCCCAGCTACTGAAGTTCCTGGTCACACCCAGCAGTGTCTCCAGCTCCACGTAACTCATGGTTCAAGCACAGAAAATAGTTCTGGCTCATTACAGATTTGGACCTGTTTGGTGTGGAGCAAATAGCCAGGAAGAATGCTGGTGTTCGGCACTTTATAGACTCATACCTCCTAATGGCCATGTACTGCTACTGTAATACTTGGATATAAAGCCAAATTTTCTGTTACCATTAGAAGCACCTTAAAATGAATGCACACATGGATGTCATGTTCATTTTCCAGATCTTCCATTCCTATAAAAACATATTTGCTTCTCCATCTATACTGCAGACATAGTGCTGTATTTGCATAGTATTTCTGTGGGGCTTTAAAGTATAGGCACTTTATTTTCCACACTTTTCACATTCTACATACTAAATTCTAGTTAATTTATTTTCATTGCCAAAAGACATAAACAAATGCTAGGCGTGATAAGATATTATTGCAAGTATTTCCATTTTGACAAAGTTTCAGGGTTGGATTTTTTTTCCTTGAGATTGGACACTTTTTGCCCAGGTTTCTTCTTTGGCTTAAGTTCATACCATTGTGTTTAAATCTAAATGCCAGAAAAAATGCAATGATATTCTCAAATTCACACTGGGTTTATCAGTTGACTTAATTTAAGTCTCTTGCACATGCAGAGTTAATTACCATTACACTGCTAAAGACCAAGGAAAAAACCCTGAAATACTTTCCATCATGTGGTTTGTACAATTTAAAACTTCTGGACTTAAATTTTGAAAGAGAGTATGAACCAATGTAGAAACACGCAAATCACTTTTCCCTTTGCAATACAAAATAAGACCATTCAGCAGGTCCCAAAGCAATTTAATCGGGGATGCTAAAACAATCACGGTTCTACTCAGTGATTAGCATGCAAGTAATTTTTGCAATGTCCTGTCAATCATGTTAGCCATATATACATAGCTCCTATTTACAAACACATCACTCAGTTTTCAGGAACACAGGGTAGCGGAATTCACCCAGATAGCTAAGATAACTTCTTAGTGCTGCCTTTATTAACACCAACCTAGGGTACTTCTATACCAATTTATGTCCTTTACCCTCATTAAGTGGCTGATGAAAATCTGCCCATGCTAAAATTGCAGCATTCTTTCAGAAAGGCACTTTTTGCAACTGCTTGTGCTCTCCTCCATTTCCATTTCATTACCTTCAGCTGGAAAAAGAACAGTGGAACTTTAATTCCTCTGATACCCACCAACAGAGATAAGAGCTCAGTCACAGCCGTGCTAAGTGACAAATTAACTCTTTGGATTAAGTAAAGATCAATGGGAAGCAGGGAAGTATTCTCTTACCTTCAGAACACAGCTTGCCAGTATATCCAGTGGCTGAGCAGTCACAGTGTGGCTCACCATCCAGAAGGAAGCAAGTGCCACCATTTTCACAGGGGTTTTCTGTGCAAAGCCCTTCCATTTCCAGACGGACCCCTTGACTGCCCAGGAGCTGTGGCTCAGAGTTGCCGTATTTCAGATCCAGGATAAATCCTTGAAACGGAGGCTGACCCAGAACACCATCAAGGGTCAAGGCAGCAGGACGGATGTCCAGTGGGACTCCACCAACAAAGAGGTCACTGACGATATTCATATACTGGCGTTGTGGACGCACCTCGCCCGGTTTGGCTTCACTATCCACCACTAACACCGTCCGCAGGTGATTGCGGCTGACCATCAGGAAGTGCCAGTTGCTGTCATTGACCTGTTTGTCTGTGATAACTGTAGTCTCCGCACAGTCCACACTGAACTGGAGCTGGATGCGCCCATCAACAAGGGACAGACAGAGGAAGTCACAGACACCACCATCATCAAAGTAGAGGAGCAGCCCAGCAGAGACATTGGTCTTGAACTGGAAGCTCAGTTCACTCCTAGTGCTCGCATCCCAACGGAGGTAGCGGGCCCACTGGTTGGGGATGCCCATGAACTCCAGACCCAAACAGAGACCCAGCAAGGAGCCCAGCAGCAAACTCACCTTCAAGGTGAAGCAGGCGGAGTGCAGAGTGAAGCCCATTGTTTCAGTAATCTGCTCTTCTCTAGGAGAAAAAAGAAGACCCACTACTGGGAGGAGAACCCTAACAGTCAACACCAAACGCTAAACCCAATGGGAAGAGGAGGAGAGCACACACAGTGACAGCGAGAGGAAGAGTAAGTGAAAAGTGAGATAACAGCTGCAGGTGACCAAGAGGAAATGTCTCCTCCCCAAGGAAGGATCTCAGTTATCCTTTAGGATACAGAGGTTTTTATCTCAGAAGTACAGGGCATATGAAGTGACTTCTCCAGCCAGCATACTTTTGTGAAGGGCAAAAAAACCCACAGTGATTGGTTTTGGTGGAATACAAAGGTGACACTCGTTGCTTCAGGGAGGAAGGAAAGGCAGAGCTGAAGACCAAGCCTCAAATTCTGGTTTCCTAGAAGTGTTGACAATATTGATGGAGGTGGCAATGAGATGGAGGAGAGAGTGAATTCATAAAGCACGTGATCCTCAAGAGGCCAAAAATAAAGTCAGTCTTCGTGCTGCATTGGTGGCTACCCAACCCATAATTCACTGCTTGGCACTCACGGAGCTTGCAGGACCTGTGGGGTCAAGAGGAGAAAAGAAAGGAAAAAGTTAGTCTTACTACTCACCATATCTTTATTAGGAAGCTTAGTAACATCTTGCCCAGTAACTCATTTCCATTTCTTGATATCCTGGCCACTTCTTCCTACCTGCAGTCGGCTATATAGCCCTCCAAAGCAGCAAGATCTATGTCATCAAAACTATGAGGACCAAATAGAGAATAGAGAATTCCAAAAGTGATCTGCACACACCACAACATTCAGAATGCAAAAATACATCAAATTATTGAAATCCTTTGATAGATGCAATCTCATTGACTTTACTGAGAGAAATGGTGCTGCAGCTTCCCCAGCAGCAATTACCTCTCACAGAAAATGCTTAGGGCAAACACCAGAGTTCCTCTGAGCTTAGAAGCTCATACAGGGCATAAGAAGACTTTATCCAAATTTCCCATTTCACTGTTTTCATCAAGCTACCAAGCAAGCATTAGAGAAGACAACCCTGAAGTCAGCCTGCCATGAAATAGATGCTTTTATTTTACATGTCTTGCACACTTCATAGACTCTAACAGGGACCTTTGCAACCTGGAAACATGTGCTATGCAAATGATATATGGCAACCTGCACCTTAGATGACAGGAAAGTTGTTGCTTAGATGATAAGAGCTGTCTAAGCACTTAACCACTTACCCTGGTCTAGTGGTTTGGCAAAAAGGCCAAATTCACCCCTAGCTAACAGTAAGCAATTCCAACTACCTTCAGTGAGCAAGAGTTAGACCTGTTAACACTGGGATTTAATTCGCTTCTGCCTATTTGCATGTGGGTGACTGTATGCCTAGGGTAGGAGGATATTTTTGGATGACAAGTAAAGACAGCACAAAGCTAGGCTCATTCTCTGAAAATCCTGCTTAAAAAGAAAGTAAGTTTTCTATTAACACAGGTGCTTGTTCACAGAGAACAGCTCCAGGAACGGCTAACATTAGCACAGCCACAAAGCAGGAAAGGAGGTGATGAGAATCAAGGCCTTCAACCTCCAAGAAGCCAGCATGAACATAGATTTCACAAACTGGATCACAAACATTGCGATTTATTTTTTTGTATTTTCTTGGGAAATGTGTTTTGTCCTGTGGACAATAAGAGTTGCTGGATTTACTGTTGCTTCCAGCAGATGCCTTTCAACCCCACCACCCACCTTGCCCTGAAGGACGAGGCCCACAGACACTTCAGAAATGGACAGCATAGGAAACTTTCTGTTTGGTAAGGGCAGAGTATGAGCTGGAGGACAATCGCTAGGGAGCAGAGGGGAGAGCTCACACAGTCACAGCCTCACCTGCCCCAAGGATCCGCAGAAGCCGTAAGTCTTCAGAGCTCTCAGTCTGGCAAATTTAGCCAGCATGAAAAATAAGTCACTTAGAAAACAAAAGGGATCAATTAAAAGAAAACCTGCAAGTTGGAGAGAAATGCGAGCTTTCAGTACCCAGTGGAAACCAGGCCTGTTCCCTGCAGCTGCCTGAGTGAAGCATGTTAGCTAAACTGCTATAAACACAAATAAAATCAAGTAAAAACCAAAGGGAAGATAATTCCTTTTAATTCTTAACAGCTTGGCTCAGGAGAACGGAAGGAGGAAAAAGGAGGTGTTAGGAGAGGTGTAAAATGAAAAAAATACACAGATTCAAATGCTCAAATCATCTGTCCTTCCAATAATCACAGTGTTGGCTCAGTTCATAGGGTCTGGGGGGGGCTCTGAAAAAGCAACTGGGAAAAAAAATTATGTGACTCTTGTCCATTTACCTTTCTCCTCTGTGCTCCCTAGTGGCTCCACTAAAATAGCCGTGATTTATGGAGAAGGAGAATAGAGTGAGAGGGAGGTAAGAGAGAAAGTGATGACCCGAGCCTGGAATTACTGATGAGATAGGAATAGGAATATAATAATGTGTGTAAATTAGCCAGTGATGTGCTCCAAGCAGCTCACAGCTCCCTGGAACATTTACCATCACTGTAGCAAAACTCGCTGCTTATCAGCTCTGTCTTCAGCCTGAGCTCGGGAGGAAAGCAAGCCCAGCTTGGCACAACCACCCACAGAGACCCTAGTGCAGAGGAGCTCTCACCCCATTTTTCAATTCTCCTGGGCAGGATGGGTAGACCAGCTGCATCAGAAGTAACCCTCAGCTTTACTACTTCTCTCCCTGTTTTAGAAGACTAATTCTTCAAAAACCAGTGAGAGATGTAAATCACAGCATCAGGTGTGAACACTCTATAGATGAACACAGAGATGCCTATGTCCATGTCCAGCCCAATCACCTGTCTAAAAAGCTAACCAATCTCTTCCAATCCCAGGCTGCTGAAACCCACTTTTTACAAACACAAAGAAATCCCAGTCTCCATGGGTTGCTTCAACCCTTGGGATGTTTCAAAGGCACAGTAAATGGAGCAGGTTACCTCTGTGGTACAGATTTCTGTAACATCAATACGTGTTCATTAGGAGAGAACAAAGGCCACGGTTTATAGGGGAAACCAGCAGAAATGGTTAAACAGGAATCGCATTGTTGACTGAGGGAAACCAAGACAATCCCATTCTATCTGTTTTGATTGAAAGAAGCCAAAGAAATCTCTTTCTAGTTGTTTTGAAAGAAGACAGTGCCTATTCTGTTTCAGAAGAGGAAGACAACACAAAAAAACATGAAATAAAGGTGTCACTTCTGGGTGCTTCACTGCCTTTTTAGACACCACAGCTCAGGTTATGGGAAGGCTGCCTGCACCCAGCTGCTAGCAGGCTGGAGCCATCTGAGGCTCCTCCAGAGCTATGTCAGCATCCATCAGTGCTAACCCACAGTGCTCCCGGTTCTGTGTCTTGTGCAGTTCAGCCTGTGAAAGCAAACCTCACTCAGAAGACCCAGTGTCCTTTTCAGCAGCAGCCAGGATCTGAATCCTAACCTTAAGAAAGTAAATCCTGACACAACAAATCTATGCCTCACTTATTTCCCACAACAATCCAAAACACATTGAGAATGAATAATTTTCTGCTCTTATCATTTTATTTTTAGCATAACTACTACCCTAGCAGTCTCATACAGCACACTGCTACCATAGCAATACATTACAGTTTGGGACAATAACTATAGAATGCCATAGTATTTTCTTATATATTTCATCCCTCAGAAATCTCAAATTATGTCACAACATAATTGCATCTGACAAAAAAAGATTTTGTGAGGGACACCACCTCACTGAAGAATTGGAATTCTGTTCCAATTCTCTGTTCCAATTCTGTTCCAAAACCTCTGTTCCAATTCTACCTATTGCTCACATGGAAAAGCAAGATAACAAACATTTTCTATGTTATATTTTTGGCTTAATGTGATTTAGCAGCACAAAACAAGACAGCCAGTCTGCTGCGACCAGCCCTTCAATAAACCCCTAGGCAAGGTCTTTGCAGAGAATTTTAAATGTTTGCTACCCTGAAGGAATAAGAGCGCCAGTGAGTTATCTCCACTGCACCTCTTGCAGCCTGTACCACCCTCCTTGCTGCTGGAGAGCTGAGCCAGCAAGGAACCTGCACACTGAACAGGCGGCTCAGCATCTCACACACACAAAACCCACTGTAGGAAACACACCCACCTGCACCATTCAAAGTCCCACTCACAGGGCTGACAGAGCTGCACAATTTCCCAACCCTGTGAAGGGAGGCAGCCCTGCTGCAGTACTGTGGGCAAGCATCTCTTAAGAACCACACACCTTCTCTAACTTGAGAGCAGCCCATTAAGGCCAGGTCAGAGCCATTTGCTCAGCAGCCCACAGAGGGTCTCGCCCTGGCTTTGGAGTAGCTCTCAACTGCTTATCAGCTGCACATGGAGAATGAGTGACATTACCTAATTGCCAACTAACTTCCATAATTACTGACTGGCACACTCTATGCAGGGCTAATACCTTTGCAAAAGTCTTGCCACACACCTGCTTAGGAAAGAGGGTGAGAAGCTGGGCACAGTGCTGATCTACAGTTTCTTTACCCAACCGCACAGAAAGGCTGCAGGCCATGGCTTTGTCACTCCCTGCCCTCCCTCCTCCACTACTTCCCTCTCTAGCTGCTAATTGCTTGCGGTTAGGCTTTTTTCGTATTTGAAAGTGTAATTTTCAGCAATTCCTAGTGCAGAAAGAATAACAGAGTTAGATGAAGCCAATGACAGGCTGGCTTCCCTTCAAACCCCTGCCAGTGCAGCCAAGTGCAAGCCTGTGTAAGTCCTGATACTCCACTTAAGGATGCTGGACAAAATCCCACTGACACTTTGATGGGAGAGGTTTACAGTGCCCCCAGTTTGTCACCCCCTTCACAACCAAAACTATCCACTGTGCCATACTTCACGTAAAGGGACAAACATGCATTGGTCACATAAGATACATGTATTTATACCCCCTGTGAATTCACTTTTGTCCCTGCCTTCACTGTCAAAAAAGCAAAATCCAATGGTTTGCTTGATTCCCCAGGCCCCAGTGAAGCAGAGGAGTTTTAGGTAGGGGTAAGCAGGACCCTAATCTGGCTCTGCACCCGTGTGTATTCCCACAGTAGGCCAAAGCACAGGAAACAGATCACTAGAGGTTTATGACATACGCTGCTCAAAATGATCCAGCGAGATTCACAATCAATAATTGATATTAAAAGCCACGTTTGCCAGTGGCAGAGAAACGGGGAATTAATAATATTTATTCAGTCTGTCTTCACTCATCCAGTTCTTCAGTGAGCAGTGGACTCCTCTTGGCTCATGACTTCAGTGTGGGTTTCCACAGAGACTTCTATCTCTTAAGCAGAAATCTTTCTGTCTGGTCCATCCCCAGATGAATTGCGGCCAAAAAAGTGTGTGGAAATAACAAAAAAACCTTTCTGATGGAAAAAAAGCAGATGTGAACACTGCAAATTGCTACTGTCACTGCAGAAAAAAAGGAACACAAGAAGTCTCCCATCACCCAGCCTCCTCAGCAAGGATGCATGGAGATGTTTACAGAGAACTGAGAGGACACAGAGAA